AAACAAACAACATTATGTCCCACATCAATCTAATTATTTGAGTGACTCATACATTTATTTTGCACCAGCGCTAATCGCAAAGCGGATTTGCAAATAGGCAGTTCCTTTTTAAAAAATCAAAATGCCCCCCAAATTTTACTCTAGATCGAGATCTACAAGAACATAATTAGATCTAGGGCTGGCTTGACAGTAGGCCTACTTGAATTCTACGACTTCAGCGTAGCAGAAGTTTGGGAAATTAAAACATGATGCCTTGTCTTGGCCTTGGCAACGTTGTTGCCATAGAGACTAGATCTAGATCTATAGATGCTAAGATAGATCTAAAAGACAACATAATTACATATATATACCGCTAACTTAGAAAATTACAGTCTATAGTCTATATCTGCTCAGTACCTAGACCTAGAATCTACATCTCTAGTTTTGAGAAATATGATGTGAAGAATTTCAAGTTTCACAAAATGTCAAGGATTTTCGAATCGAAGTGTATACAGACCCGGTAACCGGGAACAAAGTCACAAAGTATACAGACCCGGTAGGGGAACTCTTTTGTGATTTCGGAGGGTTTCAGCGCCCAGACCCGGTAGTGTGTGTGTGTGTGTCTGTGTGTGTGAGTTAAAGAGAGAGAGAGAGAGAGAGAGAGAGAGAGCGCAGGGGGAAGTGCTAGCAAAATGTATATAATATGACATGTCTGCCAGTTGGCAGGAAGGAACGAAAGACAGAGACAAACAAAGAAAAAAAGAATGCGAGCGATACAGAGAGAGAGAGAGAGAGAGAGAGAGAGAGAGAGAGAGAGAGAGAGAGAGAAAGAGAGAGAGAGAGAAAGAGAGAGAGACTGCTCGATTGAAATTATGACATTGTTCTTTTCTTCAAATTGTGATTCCTCCAACTCCAAAACAGGGGAAAAACGATCGTTCATCGAAAAGACATCCGCAATCTTCATTTAGTTTTAGATCTAGAATCTAGATCTACAGTCTAGATCTAGGCTAGCCTCGAAACTAGATCAATGATTTATATCTGTCTGTCTAGATCTAGAATCTAGATCTAGATCTAGGCCTAGTGTTTTGAGCAGGTAGATTCTAGATCTAGATCTAGAGCAATTGGTTTTTCATGTCATAGTCTTAGTTAGTAACTCAAAAGGACCCAAAATGTAAAGTGTGGAAAATGAGAACTTAATTGTGTAGGCCTTATTATAGCAAAATAGATTCAGCTTCACAATGCTATATAAATAAATCAACAACCACAAGTGCACGACATCGGGCATCAATCTATTGACTACCGAAACAAAACGGTGCTGACCATAGCGTAAACAATATTTCATTTCAGTTGTTTAGATCTCTAGATCTAGATCTAGAGATCTAGATCTAGATCTATATCTAGATCTAATCTAGATTTAGATCTATATCTCTAGATCTAGATGTAGAAGCTTAACTAATAGGCCTGATCTAGATCTAGAATCTAGATCTAGATTCTAGATCTAGATCTAGATCTAGATTTTCTATAGTAATACTTCACCGATCCGTCAGCAGTTAGGCTAGGGCCTACCCGGCTTCGAACGTCGAAGCTTCTTCCTTTGATGTGTACATCTAGAATCTAGATCTAATGATGTTTGGCATATTTCAGATCAGATTCTTCCCTAAAGTCTTTAGTACAGCCAAAGCCAGAATGTGGACTCAGCTGATAGTGATAGCAAACTGTCAACAAAGAATTTTAAATTGCAGCGCGTCATCGAACTTTGAAAATGGGTTGGTAACTTCGAAACCAAAGAATTAGTTTAAGATCTTACTCAAGATCTAGATATAGAATTTGTAATTTCGTCTAGATGGTGAGGCTCCGGGAAAATTCATGAAGCAATAGCACTTGGAGGTTGAAATAATTTTAATTACGAAAATATAAATTTAAAAGAAAAAAAGCGAATAATAAAACGTGAAAACAAGGGACATAACAATGAAAAAATTGAAGAGAAAAAAAGCGAATATTAGACCGTCAAAAACAAGGGACATAACAATGAAATTAAGAAATGGCAGGCTGCTAGTTATTCCCCTTTAAGGGACCAAATACGTCATCGTTCTTTGTCTACGCACCTACGACATCATTCGATGTGTACACCTATATCAACAACGTCAGCGTTCTTTGTGTAGATACTACGTCATCATTCAATGGGTACACATGTACGTCATCATTCAATGAGTACACACATACGTCATCGTTCTTTGTGTAAATAGTACGTCACCATTCAATGAGTACACATAAACGTCATCATCCAATGCGTACACACACACACGTCATCGCTCTTTGTGTAGACACTACGTCATTGGCCATTGTGTACACATAAAATCTTACAAAAGCTTGATTTGTTTGTATCGTTTCGCTAAAAGCACGTGGGTTAGCAGAGCAGTAATTATCACGCCTAAAATATTATTTTAGAGAATGAAAGACTTGTAAACTTGTTTTGCATTGGAAATTACCTTCTTCTGTCTGTATAACGTAATATGTTTTTTTAATAAATTTTTTTTTTTCGTGCGTATTTCCGGCACAAGCAAAGATCTTACACTAATCAGTACTTCATTTTGCGGAAGTGGTGTCACCCATGGAAACGGAAGTGATGCCACCCACTCTAAGAAGACATAGACTTAAGGCGCGTGAAAAGCGCGGATCAACAGACGAATTAGTAGCCAACTTTTCGGGACAGAATGGTGGTTTTTAGAATGCTAAAGCTAGTGGGAAGCAGGATGGGGGTTCAGAGATTGTACATATAAATGGAGATACGCCGGACATGCCGATAAGAGTAAGAAAGTACCCATGTCTGACACATAGAATGTCACTCTGTGAGCTATTGCATTAGGCTGTAGTCTTTGGGTTTGAGTTAAGGAAGGTAACCCTAAAAAGTCATCCCTTCAGTATTTTTCACGGTTATCTCTCTTTGACCATATTTTGAGTGTTATTTCAGTCTAATCTGACATAATTTTTCTCACGCAGAATTGTTTTGGTGTGCTAGATGGGTAGAACTTACTTTTCTGAGAAATTTGATGCCAAAATCAACAATATTACTTAATTTTTCAGCTAGTTACAGATGTTCAAAGTTCGGTAATATTTATTGGGTGAAAATAAGCCAGGCTGTGTTTGGTACCTCAGTGACTAGATCTAGATCTAGATTCTAGAGGCTACCTGCTGATCCAGAACAAGATGTTTTGGAAGATCTGGATCTAGAGGCACTCCTGTACAAATACGGTCCCGTTTGTTTTCATGATGGCCATTGTGGGAGTGAATATAGATAATCTATCCAGAATCTAGATTCTGGATAGCCAAGGTAATAGCCCACAGAATCTATCTTTAGATATTTAACTCTAGATATCTAATATCTAGATCTAGATCTAGATCTAGCTAGAATCTAGATAGATCTAGAGAAGAATCTAGAATCTAGATTTAGATCTAGATCTAGATCTAGATCTAGCAATCAAGATATTGGAGCTTTTTCGGTAGGCCTAGTTCCCTCCCCGCAATTGAGAACTACCGAAAAAGCACCAAGTTATCTAGATACTAGATATAGATCTAGAATCTAGATCATTTTAATTCAATTTAGATTTAGATCTAGATTCTAGATTCTAGGTCTAAATAAGAAACACATAAAAATTACTACAGGGGGTAGATCTAGGTCTAGATCTAGATCGAGTGTGATTTAGTGCAAAGCAAACGGGACTGCTATTGTACAGGAGTGCCGATCACATGTGTGTGCGGATCTAGGAGCCATGTTGGTGACCAGGGTAAAATAGTAAAAGACGTTTTGGCAGTTTTACAACAAGCTTCATACATCGCATGTCTTTTTTCATCACCTCCTTCATGGTTTTTTTTTTACTGTTCTTTGGCTTAGATCTAGGATCTAGGGCATCGTAGATCTAGAATCTAGATCTAGACTTAGATCTATTTGTTTGCTAATTTCGTAATCAACACCCAAACATTCTCTCTCTCTCCCTCCCTCTCTCTCTCCGGCCGACCAACAGCACACCTTAACCCAAACCCTAACATGAACCCTTACCCTGACCCAAACCGTAACCCTAACCCTAGGTCTAACCCTTACCCTAACCCTAACTCACTAACTCTTGTATAGTTTGCTCAGTGGACCTTGTCATGGTAAGTGCCGGCCCTCCGCGGAACTCCTCCCTGAAAATGTAGTTTTCTGAATACAGGGTGTCTTTAAAAAAAAGAGGACCCCATTAAAATAACTCAGTCATCTAGACATTATAATTTCAATAAAACTTCGAACAAATAAAATTCTGATGCTCTCGTGGTCTAGAGGTTACGGTGTTCTCCACTCATTCAATATGTCCCACATTCGAAACCTGACAGCGACAGAAATTTAAAATGTTTTTTCTAAAATCTTCTCCTTTCCCCTCCTTTAACCTGCTCTCTAACCATGTTCTGTCGTCTGTTTTCGTCATCACTTTTGCCCCCCCCCCCCTAATTCCCCCTCCTCTGGGCTCCTGCACTCTTTTTGTTACCTTTCTACTGCTTCTTGCTCCTTCCTACTGCTGTCTTTCAGCCATACCTGCGATCTTATGTCTTATGGTAGGTATAAAGATCAAAGACACGGTCAACTCGGATAAGGGAGAAAAATTTCAAAGATCCCATGATGTTTAAGTTTTACACTTTAAAGATCCCTCGATGGTCCAATATCGATAAGAGTAGGCTTCGGCCACCACCTGGGCAAAATTCAAAATTAATAATTCCTATCAAACTGAAAATGTTTAATGTAGGGACGTCAAATCTGTAAATATAATACAGGAAGAAAATCATGGTTTGTCATACATTGACTCCCGTAACGTACCCATGGTTGAATTTATTTTTTAAAAGTTTTGTTGAAACCAGTCAAAAGATGACCCAGTTAAACAGCCCTTTAAACGGGCCCTCGCTTTTTTTAGACACCTGTTACTATCTCTCTGTTGCAAAAATGATAATGATTAGATTAAAATGTATTAAATATACTGAGATAGATTTATACAATAAACAAACCTGATGATGGTTACCTAATGTTTATCTTTATGACATGGTTTTATTGTTTCATTACAGTGGGGAGATATTTGCTCACAAGACAAACGTGTGTGCCTCAGTGACAGAGACCTGGTCTATCTCCTGGACACGAGGAGAGAGCAAAGGTCAACCAGAAACTGGAGGAGGGTGAGGAACCGGGAAACAGAATTTTTACTGAAACGACAGACTTTAGCGAGACATAAAGGGAAAAGAAGACAAACTACAGTGGAGTCTGCTGAAACCAAACACGGTTCATCCGATAATCATATGGCGGTAAACCTTAATAAAATAATATCTCTGATTTTTTTCTTCAGTCGAACCAGATATCAGGCTGAAGTCTCATCACTACGAATGACAAAGTACAGAGAGCTATTTTAGGAGCGTTATGCTGATGGCGAGGGACGTTCTAAACTATCTATGTATAAGATGTTATGGGTGTGATCTATCAGGGGGAACTAGGCTCCTTGAAAACCTGTCTTCCTGTCATTGCCGCATTGTTGGTGTTTGTTTATTTACATGTTTTTGCTGTGATAATAGATTGATATAGTTGGTGTAACACACAATTCTATACTGGAAATACTATTTGAAATAGAGTCATGCCTTTTAAGGCTCATTGAGAAAGTTGACTTCAGATGGATGTCTCTATATATAAAACTCATAAAATTAGGAGCATAGGCCTACTTTTGATTATTTCTGATGTGAGGAAATTGCATTCTCTGTCCCCCAGCTGTTTCCATCTGTACTTTTTACCTGTGCTGAAAGTGGCTTGAAAGAGCACCAAAACTGGTCCCTCACACCGGTGGAGCAACTGGCTGTTGCTATGGAGAGAAGCTTTCTACGTAAAACATCATCTTTTTCCGAGTTGAGCATTCCAAAGTAAACCATAGTCTTGTTCTTGTTTAGTGTGTGTTTGTGTGTGTGCACTTAATCATAGTGAGTGTGTGTGTGTGTGTGTGTGTGTGTGTGTGTGTGTGTGTGTGTGTGTGTGTATGTGTGTGTGTATGTGTCATTGTAGTTGTGTCTGTTACCATAGCTAGCTGTTGATGTGAATTTATTGAATACATCAAAATGCATATAGAAGGTTTGGAGGGGGGTTACTTGGCCAGTACCCACCATCTTGACCCACCTTGTGGGTAGAGTCTGTTTCTTGTTTTGAAAAGTTGGCAGCTTTGTAAATGGAAAGTCGTGGCTTGTGACTGCGATGTGTGTGTCCTTTAAATCATCCTTCTTTTTTTCAATTTTTGTTCTTTCTTGAAACAGAATTCCTGCTGGCCCAGCCACTGGAGGTGAGGATGTTTCTGAAAACTTGCACAACAGGCGTGGTAAGGAAGTGAAATTTCTTTTTGTGCCATTAGGAAAAGGTTAAAGGGATGTAGTCCATAACATTATTTCAATCAGGATTGATATAATATTTTTTATGTTGTGTCCCTCTTCTCATCTGTGACCACTCACACAATGTTCTTGTCCTGGCCGCCCTTCAACACAGTGGTCCAGTGGTCGACTTTTCTTTATCATCTCCCTCTACACCTATGTTGACTCATTCCATACATTACCGACGTCTGTGCTCTCATGGTTCTGTTCTTTGCCGCAGATTCTATCTATTCTATCAGGCCACCTTGTGAACGAGTTTTAGCTGGTAACGTCAAAGGTTCTCTACATACACGATCTTTGGTAGCGTTCCACAATGATTTTTAACGTACATTTGGTGGCCTTAGAAAACCTCTGATATGTCACCTTGTTCAATATCGAGCACCAGGCGGAAAATAATAAATTTCCAACCAATGCAAAATTTTTTTATAAAAACAATGCCAAGCAGTATTCATTATCATTCTTTCAAAATCAACAAGACTTTATCAAAATAATGTTTTGAAATGTTAATTTAGATATCATATATATTTAGGTTCTCGCTCAATAAATCAGAAATTTTCATGTCAATTTTTAAATAAAGTTTTGTCTTTTGTAAGCTTGTTATCTTGAAAATTATGTACAACAAAAAACAGATAGAGCTTAAAGAAAGTGAAAATTGGACAGAGTGGAAAGCTACAGATCAGAAAATGCTCCTTGCTTCAGAAAGTGATTTTCCCATTTCCCTCTTGGTTTCCCTTTGCCACCACTATTTGTTTCTCTTTCTGCTGGGCTGATATTTGCTCCAATCAAGTCATTGATGCTCTAGCTGTTCCCGTCTTTTTCTTGGTCTTCCCCTTCCTCTGTTTTCTGATACCTTTCTTCGGATAATTCTTTTACACAGAGCTTCTGTGTTTTTGTGAGCCAAAATAAGTGAGCTTTGTGATCAAATGAAATCTATAAATAAACAGTTCTTTAACTGGAGCTTTTTCAAGATCCTCCGGTTGCATTATTTAGAATTATGTTTCTACGTATTTGTTTCATTTTTATTTTGTTTCAGATCCCAACAGTCGTCTGTACCTGAGTGCCAAAGAAATCTCGCCCTTCCTTGAGATACAGCCATAGTTCTCAACACTACACTCAACCATTCACCTAAGAAACGCGATTCTACAGACGGGGTGAGTAATTTTCGAGACTCGCGTGGAGACGTCTAGACAGCTGGGAGATGTAATCGACAAATTTTCACTGAAATATAGGGCAGGGTGGTGTCGCGGTCACAAAATGAGCAATTTGTAATCAAGGTTACTGTAAGTCATTTATTTTAATGATCCTGTGTATGCATCCAAAGAGCTGTTTTAAATATAGGGCCCAAAGGGATATATTTTTTAAAATTAAAGGGTCAAGATTTTTAAAAAAAATGTTTTTTACTTCTTCCCAACAACTTCTAACAGTAGAAATGTAAATCTTTAGCTATCCAGTCGCGGAAGAAAAGATTGTAAGATTGTAACAGTGTCGTTATTACATGAAGGACATTCCTTCTGCAGATGCTCTGATCATCGTCAAACATGGACGGTTTTTTATTGTTATTGTTATCATCATTATTATTGTTATAATCGTTAAAATTGTTACCATCATTATTATTATTACTATTACAGTATAACACGGATATCTCGAATTCGTAAGGACCGACTTCGGAGGTATGAGGGATTTGTAGTTCCAGGGATATCTTACAAAGAAAGAAGGAAAAAAACGTGATTACTAGTCTACTGTGTAGCACCTATCTGTTTTAGAGTGTTATTTTTATTAGTATTATAATTTGTATTAGCATTATTAATTTTATTATTAGTATTATTATTAGTATTATAATTATTATTTTTATGATTGTCATAATCAGAATCATTATTATCACTAGATTCTATTATTATTGTTATTATTTTTTTTTTAAAGTTATCATTATTATCTTTATTATTATCATTGTTATTATTTGCATTATTATCATTGCCATATTTATCTATATCATAGGTTAAATAAAAGATTACCCAGATGTGAATTTGTTGAGAGAAAGAAAGGAAAGAAGAGGATTGTCATTTGTCATCCCCAGCAGTGTTCCCTGCCGTATGTGAGAGACGATCCCTGTGGTCTGAGGCCGGTCAAGCCAGTGCCAATATGGAGTCAGTATCTCTCTGACCGCTCCTCTCTACCTGTGTGTGGGAAGAAAACGGTGGTAGGGGAGAATGTCAAAAAAATATAATTGGTAAATATCATCGGTGTACATTTCTTGTTTGAATTTTCAGGTTTCAAATTACAACTATAGTTGAACCTGCCTTAATGGCCACCTGTCTAAGACAATCACCTGTACAAACGGCCACTTCCCACTTCCCCTTTGTGTTTTTCTGAATTATAATAACACCTGTCCAAGACAACCACCTGTCTAAAACAGTCACTTTTCTCCTCAATAATGGGTGGCTGTCTTGGACAATTTCCGCTGTGCTTTGTGATTTCTCGGACACCCCAGGCTCTTGTAGATTCAGCACTTTATTCATTGGTAGAGATTACAATTTGTTCTTGAACTTTAAATGTTTTAAAAAATTTTATTCAACAAGGAACAATTTTGGAAGATAATGTTGCCATTTGTATATGACATCAGTAAGATCTTATGGTATCTGGGAGCTGTTGAAAAATTTGGAATAAATTCTTGTCCCATTTTTAATCCACAGAGCAATGAGATACTTCTAGTTTTAACTATCTGGTAACAAATATTTTATGTTGTGCCAGTCAGGCTTTCAGTTTTAGTTGTACTGTCCTTGAGTTATAGCCCTTGTCACATGGATCTATAAATGTTGTAGTTCTTGGAAATCTGAAGCCTGTAAGTCCTGTATCACTTCATAATGAATCCAAAGTTTTTATTTTACACGTGTTATTTTATGTACGACGTGATGACCGGTTGTTGCAATCCATACAAAAACATTTTCTCCTTTTCTTTCTTTCCACTCACAGATGTCTTCAGAACGTCAGAACCTGACAGAAATGTTCAGCTATCTGTCCGGAGAACATTCACGACGCTACCATGTTGAAGGGGACATCAGCGCTGCTTACTCAGAGATGGTCATCAACAGGATCTGTCGGTAGATTTGACTGGACGAAAGATGAAGCAGACAAAGAGATCATGTGGACAACTGAGTGGATCTGTGTGGATCGGAAAAAACCCTCATGTCTAGCTCATCCCGAATATTCCCCACTATTTTTAGCTCATCCCCAGTATTTTTTTATATGATCTCTATTATTTTCGAGCTCTTCTCTAATATATTCCAGCTCATTCCGAATACTCCCTACCTTTTTTTTTAGCTCGTCCCCAGTATTTTCTAGATGATCCCTATTATTTTTCAGCTCATCAATATTTTCCTGCTCGTCCCCAGTATTTTCTAGCTGCTCCCTAATATTTTCGAGCCCATCCTTAATTATTTTTAGCTCATCCCTAATATTTTTTAGCTTATCCCCAGTATTTTCTAGCTCATCCCCAGTATTTTCTAGGTCATCCCTAATATTTTCTAGCTCATCCAGAATATTCCCCATTATTTTTTAGCTCATCCCCAGTATTTTGTAGATTTTCCATATTATTGTTAGCTCATCCCTAATATTTTCCAGCTCGTCCCCAGTATTTTCTAGCTGCTCCATAATATTTTCTAGGACATTCCGAATATTTCCCACTATTTTTCATCTGTCCCCGGTATTTTCAAGATTGTCCCTAATACTTTCTAGCTCATCCCCAGTAATTTCTAGCTCATCCCCAGAATTTTTAAAGATTATTTTTATTATTTTCTAGCTCATCCCCAGAATTTTTAAAGATTATTTTTATTATTTTCTAGCTCATCCCCAGAATTTTTAAAGGTTATTTTTATTATTTTCTAGCTCATCCCCAGAATTTTTAAAGATTATTTTTATTATTTTCTAGCTCATCCCCAGAATTTTTAAAGATCATTTTTATTATTTTATAGCTCATCCCCTGTATTTTCTAGCTCATCCCCAGTATTTACTAGGTCATCCATAATATTTTCTAGCCCATTCCAAATATTCCCCACTTTTTTAGCTCATCCCCAGTATTTTGTAGATTATCCCTATTATTTTTTACTGATCCCCAATATTTTCTAGCTCTCCCCAGTATTTTCTAGGTTATCCCTAATATTTTTATAGCTCATCCAGAATATTCTCCTTTATTTTTTAGCACATTCTCAGTATTTTCTAGATTATCCATATTATTTCTAGCTCATTCATAATATTTTCCAGCTCGTCCCCAGTATTTTCTAGCCCGTTCCGAATATTTTCCACTATTTTTTAGCTCATCCCCAGTATTTTCTAGATAATCCTTATTATTTTCTAGCTCACAATCAGTGTTTTCTAGCTCATTCATAATATTTTCGAGCCCGTCCCCAGTATATTCTAGGTCATCCCTAATAATTTTTATAGCTCATCCAGAATATTCCCAATTATTTTTTAGCACATTCGCAGTATTTTCTAGATTATCCATATTATTTCTAGCTCATCCAGAGTATTTTTTAGCTCATCCCCAGTATTTTCTAGATTTTCCATATGATTGCTAGCTCAATCCTAATATTTTCCTGCTCGTCCCCAGTATTTTCTAGCTCCTCCCTAATATTTTCTAGCCCGTTCCGAATATTTCCCACAATTTTTCATCTCGTCCCCAGTATTTTTCAGATTGTCCCTAATAATTTTTAGCTCATCCCTAATATTTTCTATAGCGCATGCAGAATGTTCCCCATTATTTTTTAGCTCATCCCCATTAGTTTCTAGATTATCCATATTATTTCTAGCTCATTCCTAATATCTTCTAGCTCATTCCGAATGTTCCCCACTATTTTTTAGCTCATCCTTAGTATTTTCTAGATGATCCCTGTTATTTTCTATCTCATCCCTAATATTTTCTAGCTTATTCCCAGGGTATTGTATTAAACAAAATTGTTATCGGACCCATGTCCGGCTTTCTCTCAGCTATCATTTTCATCATCACCACCACCATCACCATCATCGTCATTGTCATCGCTTTTGTCATCAAGTAGGACATTTTCAAACCCAAACCAAAGCAACCCTGAAGCAACTGGCGTCTGTGGTGTAGCGGTCAGGTGTTTCACCATTGCATGTAGGAGACGCAAGTTCAATTCCCGAGTGGGGAGAAGATTCCAGAGGTCAGAGCTGCTGTATAGTAGGATGTTAATCGTCTCTTGACTTGAGACGTTGAAATTCTGTTTGTTGAGTTTGCAGGTGTGGTAGACTTGTTGATGTCTTCAGACCTATTATTTTCCAGCTCATCCCTAATATTTTCTTGCTCATCCCCAGTATTTTCTAGGGGACATCAGCGCTGCTTACTCAGAGATGGTCATCAACAGGATCTGTCGAGGATTTGACTGGACGAAAGATGAAGCAGACAAAGAGATGTGACTAGGTCATCCCTAATTGTTTCCAGCTTGTCCCCAGTATTTTCTAGCTCTTCCCTAATAGTTTTTAGCTCATTCCAAACATTCCCCCCTCTTTTTTAGCACATCCCCAGTATTTTCTAGATTTTTCATATTATTGTTAGCTCATCCCTAATATTTTTCAGCTCGTCCCCAGTATTTTCTAGCTGCTCCATAATATTTTCTAGGACATTCCGAATATTTCCCACTATTTTTCGTCTGTCCCCGGTATTTTCAAGATTGTCCCTAATATTTTCTAGCTCATCCCCAGTAATTTCTAGCTCATCCCCAGGATTTTTAAAGATTATTTTTAAAATATTTTTTAGCTCATCCCCAGTATTTTCTAGCTCATCCCCAGTATTTACTAGGTCATCCATAATATTTTCTAGCCCATTCCAAATATTCCCCACTTTTTTAGCTCATTCCCAGTATTTTTTAAATTATCCTTTTAGTTTTTACTGATCCCTAATATTTTCTAGCTCATCCCCAGTATTTTCTAGTTTTTTCTTATTACTTTCTAGCTCACAATCAGTGTTTTCTAGCTCATTCATAATATTTTCGAGCCCGTCCCCAGTATTTTCTAGGTTATCCCTAATATTTTTATAGCTCATCCAGAATATTCCCCTTGATTTTTTAGCACATTCGCAGTATTTTCTAGATTATCCATATTATTTCTAGCTCATCCATAATATTTTTTAGCTCATCCCCAGAATTTTCTAGATTTTCCATATAATTGCTAGCTCAATCCTAATATTTTCCTGCTCGTCCCCAGTATTTTCTAGCTGCTCCCTAATATTTTCGAGCCCATTCCGAATATTTCCCACAATTTTTCATATCGTCCCCAGTATTTTTCAGATTGTCCCTAATCATTTTTAGCTCATCCCCAGTAATTTCTAGGTC